ATCACTGTTGCATTTTGCCAAAACAATAGTCTCACGCTGATCAGCCTAACAGGAAAGGACAGCAGTCTGACACCCGCGTGTGTCATGCAAGATATAGCACTCACCAGTGAAAATGTGTGGATTAAAACATGTTTAATTATGACATAACATGGGAAAATAAGGTTTCTGCAGCTAATACCTCACAGCTGAAACGTATGAATCATCTTCAGGAGATGAAGTGATGGACAGATTCAGTGATTATTTGCAATATTTAACAAAAGAATAATAATAGTTTGACACATTGAGAAACTCTGACATTTTCACTTACACATAATGACATGTCTCCAACTTGTGCTGCCTCACCTGCCACCTTTGTCCCACTTCACGATAACATCTGTCAGCTGTCAGCAACAAAACAGCCTTTTATCATACTTTTTTTTTTTTTATGTTTGCACTGCGCTTGTCTTGATAAGAACCATAGTGGTGTCTCCCTGAGTAGGATGTAACACTTAAGAGATAAACATTTTGAATAAGCATAAAGATGCTCTGTTGGATCAGCTATCAGCTTTTCTTCGAGGACATTCACATTGTGCATGGCCTACATTGCCAGCTCCAGTGAGGATCCGAAGCAGACAGGACATTCGTCATACTCTTCTCTGTCCTCTTTTATGTGCACACAGACTTCACAGATCGCACACGGATTCACAGACTATCGATCTAGTAATGTCGCTGCAGAGGACGGCAGCAGAGATCTTCCGCTGGAGGTCACAACACACACAGTAGGGTTGATCTCCTGTTATAAATTTGGAATGGTTTCAATTTGAATAAGTGTTTTCTAAATTTCCTAATTACAGTATTATGCATGACTCCCCTCTTGATCATTATCCTGCGCAATTACTTGCTATGGATGTGTTTTCTTGTATATTTTCACACAGACAAGTGGGCTCAGCTTGCTGTTAGTATTTTGCAGCGAGGGAGGTGTGAGGTCTACTAGAAACGGTACATCCTCAACTTATGGTGCACCACTGCCCCCCTGTGGACCGCAGTGAAACATGAAGGGAGACCTGATTTCACCTCACTGCTATAATTGGTAACTTCTTTAAATAAGACAGATTCGCTACAGTGTGTACCTTTCCCCGTAGCCATTCTACAAATACTGACGCATATCACAAAGAGCATGCATAGTAATCTCAATTTCTTACATAATCACATTTCTATGGATTTGATTCTACGGGGAATTATTTTCCAATTTTGGTAGTTTGGATATAAATGTAATTCTTGCTCCATTCAAAGTATTATGTTGAGAGTGAATCACAGGCTTGAACGATCTGTTTGTTAGGATTGAGAATAATTAAAGCAAATACAATTTTTTCCTGAAAACTTCAAAGAATATTCACCATAAAACTAGTATCAAAACAGAGGAAATCAAACAGAAGAAAAAATCATGGAAAACAGTCACTTAGACTTAAAAATGTCCAAGATTCAAGTCGACTGCCGGTTTCAGTTGTCAGTTGTTATGCAGTTTCTCGATACACATTATGGCCTCATGTTATATTTATAGACTTATGGCGATATTTTGTTCATTAAATAATCATAGGACAAAGGGGTGTATATTATACAATACTATGATTAAGATAATTATCATTGTATTATTGGTTTGAAATTAAACACTGATTTTGATATGTTGTTATTTAGTTGCTATATATTATGACGGGACACTGCAGGTTTTGGTATTGTTATGTTTTGTGATGCGTGACTATTCAGGATGTGAAGTATTGAATAACAGGAAATCTCGAAGTGTGGAGCTGTGACCGCCAGTAATACTGAGGCCTATGTAGCAGCCAATTCTGGAAGGAATTAAAATTAAAAAATGAAACAGGGGGATCAGTTTGTCTACACCAGGAAAGGCCTCTCTCTCTCTCTCTCTCTCTCTCTCTCTCTCTCTCTCCGTCTTCCCTCCCTCTCCACCTCTCCCTCTCTCTCTCTCTCTCTCTCTCTCTCTCCCTCTCTCTCTCTCCCTCTCTCTCTCTCTCTACACCTCCCTGGGGGGTCGACACATGGCTCCTAACCAGTACTGGAGAACATCAATAGCAGCCTTGTCCCTTGGTGGGTGTGTGTTGGGTTTTTTTTTTTTTTTTTTTTTTTAACTCTCCCTAATTACCATGTGCGTCATGGCAATGCAACACGTGCGCTTTCACTGCAACAAAAGACCTTTACTAAACCTAATTGACAGTGCCTGAATATGAGACCACTCCAAGAACTAGAACATCCTCATCAAAGAAAACAGCAACAGAGACCCTGAGAGGAGACAAATGCAGTGAAAACATACTTTCTGAGTCAGAGGCTTGCCTCTAGGCCACACCTTCCGAAACAGTTCATATCCTCTTTGCTCAACTTCCACGTCCCAGCTGGGTAAACCCCGACCCAGGGCTCTTTCATAACACAAATGCTCACAAGACATCTTAGTTAGCATCTCAGTAGGTGTGCCCCGGAGCCACATTAACTATTTTTTATTATTATTTTTATCAGTGAAAAGTAACAAAGATGAGTAAACAGAAAGATGGACAATGCAATACTGCATCCATGCAGGGTCAAACCAGATTAAACTTTCACACTTCTTTTAACTTTTCTTCCATCCTCCATTTTCCCCTTTTGAGCACCTCACTTTTCAGGCTGTCACTGCTTTGGGCCATCCCCAAACCCTTTGGAGGACTGGCTAAATGCCAACTCCTGCATATTGTTCTGAAGTGAGAATGTGGTGTTTGGGATACTGCCTTCATATGTTTGTCAGAAAAGAATCTGGATCAAAGATAATGCCTGTATTTTTGACAGAGTCCTTTGGGAGAGCTGTGCTGCCACTGAAGTTGAAAGAGAGTCTGATAAGTGAGTTCCTGTGGCCTAGAATTAGCATTTCACTTTTATCCGTGTTGCAAATAAAGTTCTTTGTCGTTTTTTTTTTTGTGTGTTGTTGCAGAGATTTGAAAGATTGTAAGTGAAGAGTTCATGATTTTTACAGTAGCTGCTCTGTATGACCCGGCTTGTCTAGGATGTCACAGCAAGAGACATTCTCATCTGTGTCTTTAGGGGTCAGCCTCCCACCACCTAGCAACGAGTACAGCCCTCTGCCCCAGAAATGCAACCACACACACTGGATCTTTAAGTAGAGCATCAGTCAGACAGAAAAATGCATCTGCTGTTAATGTGTGTGGATGGAAGGAAGAATCTTGTTGTTTACATGATTGTTTTCCCATTTCTCACTAAGTTAAAGCTAAGATCACTACTGTGAGTCGTAATCAACTGTGAAGTAACCTGAGTCTTACTTTATGTCCTGGGCAATATATATATATATATATATATATACAACTAGTTACTCTGGCTATAGCCATGGGCTTTTTGTAACCTCAAATTAAGTTTTGGCCAAAGCTATGTTCTAAAAGCATCATAATTTCTTCAACTGTCACAAAGTCCACTGATTTGAACTTCTCTACAGATGTGTGTAAAGCTCTACAATGCTATAACCACACAAATAATTCATCAAAATTGAATGGGTTCACTTTCTGTCAGTCAACTGATCAATCAATTGAGAACTAGTAGACACTGCAGAGAAGAATATCCAGTGCTGAATAATTCAGAGCAGTACAGAGTATACCGACGAACACAGAGTTTCTTCTAATATCAAAGTCAGAGACTCGACTGTCAGAACATTCAGTTTACTTTCAACTCTCAGATGTTCAACTTTGAAGCATTTACTGAGAAAAACTAGGTCTCTATGTTATAAAATGGACAAGCAAGATTTTATTTTTTCATGCAAGAACACAATCAAGCCTAATGATGTTAGTGCAACATGTCATGTTAATGATGTAAATGGTTGCATCATTATTAGTATCAGTAGTATTATTCATTTACATGCTGTTACAAGTGAAGGAAAGCAGAGCAGGTAGGCAGTGGTATACCAGGAAAAAAGTTTGATGTAAAGGGCTGTCAAAACTTCAGACATTTTAAGGTGCTACAGTTGCTGCAATTTCATCTGATGAAAAATGACTGATGATGTGCACTGACAAAATGATAAGCATAATTTTCCAATACTTTAAGTGAAGTAAACACTGAACTAAACATAAGATGTGTGTGTGCTGACTACAGCAATGTATAATTATCATCATTAGATATACAAAATGATAAAATGATAAATATTTGTATGCTCTCACAAACACCTCATAGCGACAAAACACAGAGACTAAAACAGTTTCTTTCCTCAGGCTTTCAGGATGAACTCTGTCCTCTGCAAAGCCTTTGCATTGCCCTATGTGCACTCAACTGTGTATAAAATTGTATTGTATATATTGTCTTACATATATATACATTTTACATTTTTATATACTGAAAGATTGCACAGTCCACCTACACATGAATTCAAGCATTTTAATACCTATAATACATATCTTTATAATTTATTTTATTTTACTAGAACTATTTTTTACCCTCATTTTATTTTACCCTTACATCTGATATTTCAGTTTAGAAACTTCAAATACTACATCAGCCGTTTATATCAGTTAAAACCTACATGCAGCATGTACCAAGCACTATAGTAGATGTACTCTTAAGTAGTAGTAGTAGTAGTAGTAGTATTCTTAATTGTTATGCTACTTTATACTTTTACACCAAAACAACTAAATACTTTTGCACAGTATTGTACTTTTTATTATCTATATCTGACAGTGTTACTTTGCCAATTGTCATAAATTGATTTCAAATAAATTTAATTAATGTGATGTATCATCAGAGATTAAGTAAGCCTATAAAAAATGGTTTATATACTGGTGCATTTATATATGGTTCTGGAATGGACTTCTGGTACTTTGTAAACTGAGTATTTCTAAACTGTGGTATTGCTACTTTTATTTTAGTAAAAGATTAGTAAATCTTTCCGCCACTGATTTCCACACTGGCACAGTAAGTCACGTTAACAAGGGTTTTATTTTGAAAAGTATAAACGGAAGCACTTCTGATTCATTCCGGTACAACACCGGCTGAGGCTGACCCAATGTGTGGTTGTCACTTCCTAAATTTGATGAACTTTAAACGCTAAATAACTCTGTCTCATCCTTCAGATACTCCGCTGTGTATTTGAACTCACCATTTAAAGCGGTGTGCTGTATGACGACGACTTGTCATTCTGTAAATATTCTGCCGACCTAAAGTAGGAACTTAACTTCTCCTTCTAGCTAGGCTAACCGCTCCATGGCACCTCTCCGGGTTCTGTGCATACACGGTTACCGTCAGAACGGCAGCTCGTTCCGTGAGAAGACCGGAGCTCTGCGGAAGCTGCTGAAGAAACAAGTGGAGCTTGTTTACATGAGCGCACCGCACAGTGTGCAGCAGGCCAGCAGTGAAGGTGGGTCATGTTCTGCATGTCTCTGACCAATGCACACTGTAGGGGAGGAAGCTGACGTTTGTGACAGTAAAAGTGGACATAGGAAGCATGCTTTCACTTTGTAGGTTACTTTATATGGACGCAGTTACACAAGACAGATATATGAGATTTATTTAGTAAAGAAAGTAAACCAACTAAAAAGTAAGTAAACCTACCTGCATTTAGGTATGAATTGGTCATAAATTTGTCCGTAAGATTATAACTGTTTGTGTTTGTCTGTACTTGCAACTCAGTGGAAGACCAAATCACGTTATGATCAATAAATTAATTAATACAGAAAACCAGGTATTTGCAAAGGGTTCAGATACTTTTTTGTGCCACTTAAATAAGGATTTAAATCTAGCATGATTATTTTAAGAAGTTTAGATATGTTTTATTTGTATAATGGACAATTATACTGTCTTTAGAGCTGCAACATTTAGTTGATCAATCAGTCGTTTCAAGGACAATTAATCCATAGGTATTAATCGATTAATCATTTCAGTCATTTTGAAGTACAAACTCCAATAATTCTCTAATTTCAGCTTCTCTAGTGAGATGGTTTTCTGGTTTTCTCTGATTTATATCATTGTAAATTGAATATCTTTGGGTTTTGAACTGTTAGTCAGGGACTGAAGACATTTTAATGTGTCAACATTCACCTGTCATACACTATGTACATTGTCATGAAAACTAATAATGCAAATATTGTTTTTGTTTTTTTTAAATTGACATATTTGGACTACCACAACAACCATTGTGTATTCTTACATTAAAGGGGATACACTGCAGGTGAAATTGGCCAATTTTGCCTTCAGTATATAATGTAATATGATATAGTATAATATAATTTTATACCAGCAGCAGTTTTGTAACCTTAACAAAGTCACAGACTATAAGAGCTATAACAAGACAATAAATATATTTAATGTCAAACTCTCCCTGACCGTAACTCCTCTGAGTCCTAATTAGTAATGGTCATGTAAAGATTCATTTTCAGAGAATGAAAGAAACTGTTAGTCCATTCATCTCTGGTGCCTCTCTTTGAATTTTAAATCATTCAAAACATCACAATAACCGCTTTCTTCTTCTGTCCTTTCCAAAGCTCCAGAGAAGGAGAATGGTTCAGGTCCTGGCCCTGGAGGTGATGAGGATCCCAGGGGTTGGTGGTTTTCTGATGTCCAGGCTCGGAGTTTCAGCGCTCAGCAGCAGTGTGAGGAAAGCCTAGGGATCGAAGAGAGTGTGTCGTTTGTGAGAGAAGCTTTGAAGGCCCAAGGTCCATTTGATGGCATCCTGGGCTTTAGCCAGGGAGCAGCTTTTGTGGCCATGCTGTGCTCTCTTCAGGAACAAAAACTGGAGCCAGAGTTCAACTTCCGCTTCGCCATCCTTGTTGCTGGTTTCCCCAGCGCGTGTAAGGAACACCAAAAATTCTACAACACTTCGCTTCAGATCCCCTCCCTGCATGTGTTCGGACTGGAGGATCGAGTGATCCCTGACAACATGAGCAGGGAGCTCCTCCCCTCCTTCCAAGACCCTCAGGTCCTGACACATCCCGGTGGCCATTTTGTTCCTGCCGCATCTGCTCACAGACAAACCTACCAGGACTTCCTCAAGAGGTTCCAGTGAGTCAAGCTACAATCTGTGAATAAGACTCCAGTTCTTAAATGTGTCCGGGGAATGTTGATTATTTCATGTTGTGAAAACATAATTGGATCCAGAGGCGCTTTGAGTTCAAACTCATGACATTTGGATCCTGTCTTTCTCTCTCTTTCTGACTCATCCAAAACAATTCAATGAATGCTGTCCTTCTCAGGGAAGATGTCTTGCATCAGACAATAAATAAGATGATTTATTTTATGTCCTCTGGTCTCTGTTTCTTTTTTGTGACCTGTGTAATATCTTTACTATTACATCTAGTGATTCATTGATAAAATGAGATCTTGACTTTTCTTTGTAGAATATGTATTGTTCTGGAAGAGCACAGGTGTAATTAATAACGTTCACTATGGCTTTGTTCCATTAAAGTGTTATTAATTTTACCTGTGCTTTTCCTTCTGAGTTTCTAAAATAACATGGAAATCTGTGTTGAGTGAGAATAGATCAAGAGACTGAGTAAAGGCCACAGCGTGCTTCAAACAAACAAAGGTCTTCAGGCAAAAGTGTTTGGTCAGTCTCTGCACTCATTTGTACACAAATAAAGTGACAGAAGTGGTTGTGTGAAAAATGAAAAACAAGCTTTGAGAGAAGTTCACACCTTGCCTTCATTTCACACCTCCGCACTCCTGGCCGGTAAAGGGAGTGTGATTGTAGGATCTTCAGTTTTGGAAAGTTTCAAAATGGTTGGGCGCAGGCCATTTTATTCCGCCTTCGGTAAGGGCCTTTCAGATGCTGTTGGTGGATCCAACAAGCATTTTGTCTGAAGTTCACTGAGGCCTGTAGCAGATTGGCAGATGGAAACAGTCTGGGAATTTGTTTAATCTATTTGTGAAATAGACGAATATCAGGAAATATTAGACATGACTCGTTAAACGTGGATGTGTTTTCCATTTTTCCCTGCAGTAATCTCAGTAGCAGAAGCGAAATTGTGTTCTCCTGTTTATAAAAACAACACTACAGTAGGAGAGGATGGACATTTTCAGGTGCCGGGAACACTCCACCGCATTTGTGGAAAGCCACAGTGGAAAACTTGATTTAATAAGTTTGAGTAATATTTTGCATAACATAGCTTGGCAAACTTTTCCTTACTCGTGTAGTATTGTGACGGCTGTGTAACAATAGAACCCCATATGTGAACACGATCTTTACACATCATTATATGGTTACTGAGTCATTTTCACCCACACTGAAGTTACACTGCAGTGTATCAGCTGTAAAGAGTAATGAGGAGTTGCCGTGCAGAGGCAATGCATGTGATTGCCTGAGGTGTTTCGGTTTTAGGGGTGCATTAAGTTGGGTTATATAGACAGGTTTATGTATACACTCAAATGCACAGGGTTCAAGGACATGTTGTTCTTTTATAGCTGAAGCATGTGCATGTCAGACTGCACTTATTTGATTGCTTCCAGATGTGTGCTCTCTCTCCTCTCTACCTCTCTCTCCGCCTTCCCTTTTGCTTTCATCTCCCACCGGCCTCTACCTCGCTTCGAACTCTTCTCAACATCTTCCTCCCTTCCACATTCTGGATGTCATCGGCTTTGGGCGCAACATTCCCTATCACATGTCTGCCACATCTATGACATGGACAACAATAGTTTTGTTTGTCTGGATATCTCAAAATCCACTCCCGACAACTGCGTGCAGTTGTAGGTGGTTAACTGCCTCGCTTAGATGTATTTCCTCAGTAAAGCAGCTTATATTCAGCATCAACTTCCTCTCTTGTAAACACACACCCTCGCTCTCTTAACCAATCTGTCTTACCTAATGAGCCTCTGCTGCCGCTCACACTCACACACATAGATTATCGTGGCTATGTGGTCTCATTTCTCCATCACAGCCCTCGTATCCGTTCACTCCTGTGCTCCCCTGTGGCCCTTGTGTCCCTCCAAGACCTCACAGCATACACACACACACGTACACACACACACACACACACACACTCATACACATGGTTTTGATAACAAGTAGAGACGAATGGAGAGAGTGAGCGAGCGAGCGAGCGAGGCAAACAGTAAAAGAAAAACACAGAGGTTCACTCTTGCCAGTAAGTTTTACAACAGAGCCGTGACTCTCTTCTCAGGAATCCGTTCCCCCTGTTGCACAACAACCGGGAAATAATGGAATGAGAGACAGAGACAGATGAGGGTGGAGTTATCCTCCCTTCCTCCCTGGCTGCCACCCCCCTCCCCCCTCCCCCCTCACCTTCCCACCTCTCTCCCTCTGCCTCTCTGCCTGTTGCGGTTAAAAAAGGGAGAGTAAGGGCACATTCAAGTTTTCACCGTGATTGAAGGATCACTTTTTCCCTCTTCGCCCAGTGGAGTATGGGGGATGGAGCTCGGGGCAGAGGGGTGTGTCAGAGCACAGATGGGCTCTATTTTGATTATGGAGCATTTGTTGTTATGGGAAACGGAAGAAGGGGAGGGGCCACGTAGTGCGTATGTCTATATAAGACTTGCACTTAAACTCCAAAGAGCCTGGTCATCCCATGGCCCAGGCTGACCAACTCTGCCTTGTTCCTACAGCTCAAACTACTGACAGCTCTCACTGGAATAATCTGTGATTACAAGATGCTCAACTGAGGACTTGAGATTTTATTACCTGGCCTACGACTTTTGGATTTACACGCATTTCTTTCTCCCAACTATTCACCATTATTTTTATTTTTATCAGCATTTTAATCTACAATGTTCTGATCCCAACACAGAGAAGCTGCAGAAGACAGAAGGACTGATGTGTAGTTTGGATTTTCAACCAAAGTTTTCACACTTCTGTAAAAAGATGGATATTAATATACATTAATTTAAGTCTACGAATGCCTGCCTGCATGTGTGTGTGTGTGTGTGTGTGCGTGCGTGTGTGTGCTTGCACTGTTAAATTGGTATGCTGCTGCAGATGGATGTGATGTAACATCATACTGGATGTTTTCCAGAGGTATGGCCTGTGTCCAGTATCAGGGATTTAGGCATGCCTCTCTGCTTCCTGTGTACCTGCATAGTTTGCATAGAAAAAGAAAGTAAGCTCATGATAGGAGAGCTGTTTAGATAGCGCAGTGTGTCTGAGGTGTGTGATGTGTGTTGACACATGAAAGAGGGAACAGAGGGAGTATATTTAGAGTTGTCAGTCAAATTGCTATTTACAGAACAGAGAAGGCAAGGAAAGTCAGTGGATGTCAGCTAATGACATGAAATAACACAGTGAAGAAATATATGCGCAGTCTTAGTGTGATAACTAGGCCCTGACAACAGGCAGTGGGTCTTCACGTGTGTGCATGCGTGGGTGTGTATCTGGATTTCTTTTTTCCTCCATATGGGTGTGATTTGGTCATTTGTTATTCCATGCTCATGCTCATACGCTTCTGGTTTTCTTCTACTTTGTGGTTTTCTTGTTTGCGTAGACAAAGCGTACTCCGGCTGATGCCAAAACTTGTCTGGTTGTTGTCCTCCTCCAGTAAGCCCACGTAGCATTCTCTCTATCTAACCCTCTCACAGATTCAGACATATGACATATTGTCATCAACTGCAAAAACTGTTAACAGAGACAGGTTTCATCTCCTGCAACATCCCGTCTGTGATTGACCAATCAGTCTGTCTGGTGTGGGTGTCTTTGGTAAAAAACTAAATCACACTTTAGTACCAGATGTAAATATGTTCAGAGGTCATAGTAGTGTTGATCGTGAGCTGAGGAGGTGCAGAGGTGAACTGAGGACACAGCTGCGGCCTTCTGAAGTTAGGGCAGCAGCCGCTTGATGGATGATGTCATCTGCAGTCGTTTGTCTGCTTGTGTGCTTTACTGGAGTGGTTTAGAGGCCGTGGCTGGGTCCTGGCGAGGAGAGCTGTGGTTTGGCTGTCCTCATAGGTGCCTAACTGACACTACAGGGGTAGATATTAGTCATCGTGACTATGGAGGAGGACTGTGGTCGAGACTGCATAAAACAGAGGGAGAGAGAGAGGCATGTCTTGGCTCACATATCCCAAAAAATGCGAACGCTGTTGCACAATCTTGTTTCATTTCAGACAATTATTAAGAGGTTTGGAGGGCGGAAACAAAACATTACAAATAATGCCATCAAGAGCCTTTGCTGTGCTTGTGTGGTATTTGTAGAGGAATACTGTGCAGACTAACATTTTTGGAGCATTCAAAACCAAACAATAACAAATAGCTGCTGAACTCATGACTATAATAAAATTCATAAAACCTCGATCAGTATTCAATTAGTATTCAATTCAATTATTCAACCAGACTTTCTCGGCTTTGCACAGGAACCTAATGGTGGCATGAGACTGATACTAATATTTATTTGATAGGTTTAAAGGTTTAATCATTTATAATAATTATATCCAAATTAATTTGGAAGCACTTCGGAATGATGAACACCAGACGTCTACTGTGGTTAATCAGTGGAATGCTCCGTTAAATGTGGTTCAACCTGTAGCAACTGTGTGTGTGTGTGTCTGTGTACATGTCTTTGTTATCTCTTTGGAACCTTTTCTGGTATGAACACCAGCCTTGTTGGGACCAGTCGTCCTCATGGGGACCAAAGCAAAATGTCATTGCTGAGGTCCTGGTTAAATTTAGGGGTCAGTCGTGAATTTACGTTAGGTTAGGATTAGGTTTGAATTGGTTAAGGGTTAGGGTTTGGATTAGGCTGTCCAAAATGAATGGAAGACAATGCAATGTCCTAACAAGGATAGCTGCACAAACTTGTGTGTGTGTTTGTGAGTGTATCAGATAACTTCTCAGCCCTGAACAGTAAGAGTTTATGTGCTGTTGTTTAACTGTCAGCACATAAGCTTTTACCGTGCAGGGAGGCAGAGGATAAACAACTCTTCACTTTTCTTTTCTTTTCTTTTCTTTTCTTTTCTTTTCTTTTTTCTTTTCTTTTCTTTTCTTTTTCTTTTCTTCAAACAGCACACAGCAGATATGTGGCCATTTCAAAAGATCATAGACAAAGAAAATGATGACTACAAACGAAAAATGTGATGGCTGAGGATGCATTGAAGAGTACAGCTAATCTTCAGTAAATCCTCTGTTAGTTTGCTTTTTGATAAGTACGCTAGTGAAAAAGTCATGTGCATCATATGACTGTACCACTCTAAAAGTGTAATTGGTTATATATCCTTTTAACTTGTGTTATTCAATAGTGGTTCAAAATGGCAGTGGTCTGCACGGTAATGTGGATTACATAGACTTTTATGTCGAAA